CTGCCGAGAGGGGTCTGCGTTGACGTGAAGGCATGACCGTTACTTTCATCTTCCTACGAATTCGGTCTGTTGTAATAAATCTATACCCCCACTGCCCCTTCACACGTCCCACGCACTTTCTCCCTCGCTGGCACCTTTCCTGGAACCAGGAGGTAATAGGAGGTAAAGAACTTAGTGCAGTTGGATTTTGAGATAAAAATAGCCCTTCTAAAGGTCTTTCTGTGAAAAAAAATCGCATTGGGCGGCTAGAGTGTTTCATCCCCGCGGCTTGCCCAGTAGAAGGTAGCGTGGGCGGATCAGTGACTTTGTCCCATGTGATCACTACCACCATTACCGTCAATTTTTGCACGTGCTATTACTGTTTTCTTTGAAGTGCTACGTGTACCGGGGTCATTTCGTGCTCGTGACATTATCTGGCTTCGAAAGCATATCAATATGAATTTACCGTGGCAATGGACTACCAGTTCCGTTGGCACTACCTACATCGGACGATATCAGGTGTGGGAATGGCAGAAAGCCTGCATGGGTTAGTTGTGCCTTACAGTTATCGACTTTACCATTTTTTTTCTTTCCACTAACCAAGGTCCTCCCTTCCATATTTTCTGCGAAACCTACCTCCAGGTAATTTTCAGGTCAAATAAGAGCTTGGTCATGTGTTTTTGGTGTGCTGGACGTTGCTGAAGTCATTAAGCGACCTGAATTGATCGTTCATAAAGTAGACCTAAATTTCGAGCCAGCCGCATTCATGTGCATTTTGAAGGTAGTTATTCTGAAATTAATTATCTAAAATGATAAGAGGAGGAAGTTGTAGACGACTTTCTCGGGAAGCTTTCATGTTCTGCATAACCAGTGCGAAGGTGCACCGTAACCAGGATACGCATTGCCGTGTGGGGGGAGTTTTGCGAAATAAAATCCCTTTGAAATCCGTTCTCTGGTACGACTGGGACGGAGGAGGGGAGTGGGGGTGGAAGAGACTATATGGCGCATGTGAAACGGAAGTAAAGAAAATTAGCACCAGAATAATTTTCTTCAAACGCAAGGCCGGCTCTCCCCCTAGAAGGCCCAAATACTGCCTCGAAGAATTTTAGTCGGGTCCATACACCCCTCCCCTACCCTTTGCTTAGGGGGGTTTGGTAGACCCTCTGGTTCGCCCCTCATCAACTGTCGATGCGGTGGAGGGTAAATAGATGTCAAACGGGAAAACCGAAAAACCACGAGAAGTCAACAACCTCGTCAGAAGGAAAATACGACCCCTCTCTTTATTTGCTCAGCCAAACCCCCTCTCCAGCAACTAAGAGCGGCTTCGCTTCGCCTGTTGGGGACTCCTCAACAACGATGCGCCCTGCTCCCTGGAATTCCCACCGTATAACGTGCCCTAATCAATATCCGTGCAAACGATAGGGTGCGTGAGAAAGCGTGGTTTGGAGTGCGACCAGGATGGCTGTTTCAACCAATTGTGCCGTTATCAGCCCGCCATAAGTGGTGGAAAGAACCACACTGGCTGCACTCTAATCCACACCCCTTCACAGTCCCTGTCACATGCAGGGATAATGATTGAATGCCAGCCATGGCTTGGCAACAGAAATGACAACATCCAATCTCTTTGACATTAGTTGGCGTTCCCAGTTCTTCTAGGAACGGCTTCGAGGCCTTTATGATCGATAAGGTGAAGTTACCAGATTGTAATCAAAGTGAAAATGGTTCATGAATGTGCAGCAATTGAAGCGAATGAAACGCCACGGCACCCATTCGTCCACTGGCTCTTCTTCTGTATTACCTTCTGCCCAGCGTTCATCTCACCCCGTCTCAAGAACTGCCTTTTTTGAGTGCCTCCACTTCCCTCTATTCAAGTCAGTTTCCGTCCTGTTTTTGACAACATACAGATACTTGTATTTGTTTTTTCTTAGGCTTCTCTTGGTTTCTTTCCCGAGATTCGAAGTTCAGTGCCTGTCCAGTGCCTTTTCGTCAAGATGATCATGTGGCACTTTGAGCCCATGCCCACCCATTTAGTTGCCCATTTCGTACGTTTACTTGCATAAAGGCAGCCGCATGACCGCCCTGACGCTGACTCCCCCTCACGATGCTTTTAGCCCAATCAGGGTGCCCCATTAAATGGGGATTTTGGGATTTCTGTCAAGTCCG